AACCAAAGGTATTTTGGTAAAATAGTCTCGACACGAATCCCTCATTTCAGTGACGCAGATATGGTGTTGCTACCTATTTGAGACATGTACATGAAGAGGGTGACATTCACTGTTCCTTCTTCTTGGGAAAATCTCGAGTTGACCCCCTGAACCAGATCACCATTCCCCGGATTGAATTAATTGCTGCTACAGTTGCAGTTCGTGTTGACAAACTGCTTAAGAGGGAAATCTCAGTGGACAAAAGTATTTTCTTGGCAGACAACATATCTGTGCTGAGGTACATTGAGAATACCAATAAACGGTTTCATACTTTTGTAGCCAATCGACGTGCGGTTATACATGATGGTTCAACACTGCAGCAATAGCGCTATGTAGAATCAAAGTTGAGTCCAGCAGATGATGCTTCCATGGGATTGACAGGAGAAACATTATCAACATGCAAACGATGGATGACTCACCCTGGTTTAATTTTTATGTGACAAGGAACATGAATGGACAACGTCATCCATCTTCCCGAGGCAAGGGCGTTAACTAACTGAAAATGTCCAGTTTCCACCCCTTGCTGAACTAGGATGGAATTTCTGAGCTTGATCTGAGCGCCACTAGTGGCTATTACGAGTTATGTTTATTCTATGTCCCTCCTATTGACCAGTCTGATTCCATCTCTCATATCACATGCATTTGCTTCAATCAAAATGGCGGTGCCCAGTCAAAACAATCTGATCGATAATCAAGATATACACTCTTCAAAAAAAGAAACGCATAGGTGTTTTGAGAATTCCAATTAGATTTTTTCCCCCAGCAATCGTCATAAAGACAATTTTTATGTTTGATTCCCGTTAATCATGTCATGTTGTGCATTGCGCGCAAACACATCTCAAAATGTTTTTTTGTAAGCGTTTATCAGCAAAAATGCAAAGGATGCACGGAAATTGCTTTCAGAAAAAGTTCTCAGCACAATGCATGTGCAAAGTGTTGGAAACAAGTGTAGAGACACTGACTATAAAAGACCGTACAACATTCATCAGCTCATTACGAATTTTCTGACGTGAACGGAGATCGAAAATGCCAAGATTAACTGCAGCTGACCGAAATATCGCGATTGGACGTTTGGAAGCAGGGAAGTCCCAGTCTGCCGTTGCAAGACACTTCAACGTTCACCAAAGCAACATATCTCGACTATGGGATCGATATACCCGCACTAATTCGACCCAAGATCATCCCAGAAGTGGAAGACCAAGAGTGACCACCCCTGCTCAGGATCGGTACATCCGGTTGCATCAACTTCGGAATCGATTTGCAACAGCAACGGACACTGCAGGACAAGTGCCTGGTATGTGAAGAATTTCCGACCGAACCATCAGAAATCGTCTGAGGGAAGTGGGAATTCGAGCGAGACGACCAAAAGTTGGATCTGTCTTGCGACGTCTGCAACATCAACGACGTGTCCGGTCGTGCAACAAAGTACAGGCATGGGATCTGAGGAACCGGGGACGCGTTTGGTTCAGCGATGAGTCTCGTTTTCTTCTTCAACGACGGGATGGAAGACAACGAGTATACCGACGTCGACATTAACGTTTTGCGCCGAACCGCGTTCGACAGGTGGACCATATCCTACAAGGGTAGATCACAGTTAGTGGTTGTCCAGGGCAATCTTACAGCAAACCGATAGATAGACCAAATTCTGCGTCCTCACCTCCTCCCAACTTTGGACCGCCAGAGGGAGCAGTTCCAACATGACAACGCTCGGCCCCACACAGCACGTGCAACAGTTAATTTCCTTGTTCATGAAAACATCAATGTCCTTCCATGGCCGTCCAAATCGCCTGATCTCAACCCGATTGAACATTTGTGGGACGAACTTGATCGACGCGTCCGTCAACGTCACCAGCGTCCCCACACACTGGCACAACTCGCCAACACCTTACAGGAGGAATGGCAAAGAATTCACTACGAAAAAATCCGACGACTTGTGCAATCTGTGCCAAGGAGGTGTCGAGCAGTGACGGCTGGTGTGACCAGGTACTGACCATAACGCCCCCTTGTGGCTACACATGAGCAATGACTGAACTGAATTAATGCTGCCAATGACGACAATGCTTTTGTCGATCACTGTGTCTAATTTCATTTGATTGTGTTCACGCATATTCTGTGTAGATACTTTTACATCAGCTTAATAAACATCCTTATTTTTTAGCTATGCGTTTCCTTTTCTGAAGAGTGTATATTGTATTAAAACATTCAAAAGATTTGCAAAATGTCTGTCGACGCCAATTTAATGGTACGTATACTTTGCAAAACCTGCAGTCTACCGAAATCTGCACGTTGAAATCCACGTTGTTTACGAACCGGATGTATAGTACTTTACGCGAGTTTGATTGCACTGTGCATAGACTCGTTAGTTCAGCCAAAATGTAACGTGGGAATCCCTTCGGCAAGGGTGGAAACTGGACTTTTATGGTCAGTTAACGCATTTGCCTCGGGAAGATGATAGCATCATGTTAAAAAAACATTCCCACAGATAATGTTGATGTGAAAGACAGACAGTGAATGCAGAGTACAAGTTAGTGATTCTACTGAAGCACTTAAACATTTCTCAGACTGGTACAGACTTAAGAAGCCTGTAGCATTGACCATGTGCCTAAAAGGGCAACTAGACAAAATTAAAAATGTCAAGACAAAGGTACTGAAGAAAGGTCATGACCTTGTATTGCCATTACATGACATAAATGAATCTGAAAAAGTAAAAATTCATTTTGTACAGAAACTCTCGTTTCCGCATGAAATCGAAGCGCTGGTAAAGTCTCAGATTTCAACTGGTATCAGTAAAGGGAGTCAGACCTACAAACTTGATCCACTTATGAAAGACAATTTACTGAAGGTTGGTGCACGTCTCAGAAGAGCCAGAATGACAGATACCAAGAAGTACCCAGTACAGTAACATTTTAGAACAGATTGTTCGAAGTTTTGGGTCATGCTGACAAATCATGTTCTCTCTCGACTACTCACAAGGTATTGGACCCGTGAAGATCCGGGGTAGAATAGGTTTCAGCAACCCATGCTTGCCGTAAAAGGCGACTATGCTTGTCGACAGAGGCGACTAACGAGATCGGGTGGTCACAGGCTCGCTGACAGGCTCGATGCATGTTATCGTAACCCAATTGTGTGGATTGATGCTCATGATGTTAATCACTGGATTGTCTGGACGAGACTCGATTATTTACAGACCGCCGTCATATAGCTGGAATATTGCTGAGTGCGGCGTTAGACATCAAATAAACAAACCCAAGATATTGGATTCTCAAGGCTAACCCACTGATAAGAAAAGTTATCCACAGATGTGTTAACTGCAGACGGCATCCTGCTAGTGTTGGTGAGCAGAAAATGGCCAATCTTCGTTTCACTCCAGAGGATCCTCCATTCACATATGTAGGAGCAGATTAGTTTGGCCCCTTTGCGATCAAGCGAGGCCGTGTTACAGTCAAGAGGTGTGGAGTTCTCTCGACGTCTCTTGCAATGCGCAGTAGCTTGCTGGACACTACGTCCTCCCAGCATGCATTGCGAAGATTTAAAGCAAGGACAGTTCAGATGCAACAAATCAAATCGGCCAAAAGGACTAATTTATTTGCAACAGACAGAGAGCTCCGAACTACATTTCGAAATTGGAATCATGCTGTTATCCAGACAAGTATGATTCAGAAAATTGTAGAATTATTTTTTGGGGGATCGCTTCATGGAGGCGTATGGGAGAGACAGATACGAAGTGTCAGGAAAATTCTATATTCTGTTGGGAAACAGTAGATGATGATGAAAGGTTACAAACAGTGTGTAAAGGGGAGTCCATTATTGATGGCAGGCCAATTTGAAGGTTTCAAACGATCCAGATGATCTGGATGCTCTGACATCTATATCATATGCTTCTTATAAAAGGAAAGCCTAGCTTGGTACCGGGTGTTTTCTCTCGGGATGACTTGTATGAACGTCATAGACGTACAATTTTAATACCTAGCAGAGTTGTTTAGAAACGGTGGACCAAGGAGTACCTACCATGGTTTCAGATACGACAGAAGTGGGACATAAGACAAAATTTACAAGTAGGCGATTTTGATTTGGTAGTTGATGACGCTGTATAACAATAGTCATGGCCCATGGGACGAGTCATGCAAGTGTATCCTGATGGCAAAGGTTATGTGCGTCGTGTTGAGGTAAAAAGAAACAAAACAATGTACTGAACAGGCCGACAGCGAGGCTGTGGGTAAAAAGGCAACAGCGTGCCAAATTTCGTCTTAATTTCAATGTTCCTGAAAAAAAACCGCATGCTATAACAACCCCCGAATATACCAATGTTGACACTGTGAATGATAAACGATGGTGCACCACAAACCAACCCTCAGCGATCATCGGAAAACGTGGTGATGAAAATAATGTTGACCAAAACGGTGTTCATAATACTATCTGGAAGCTTTGAACATCACAACGTGTGTCCATTTCTCATGCCACATTTGTATAGTGCGGTATGAACTGTGACTAAATTGTACGAACACCACAGCACTAAATTACATTTCATGAAATGTCTCACGTTTGTTGAGCAGTATTTAATTTTGCATACATCAGTAGGTGAGTGAGTGAGTTTGGATTTACGCAGCTTTAAGCAAAAGTTTAGCAACATCAAAGTGATGAAGATCATTAATTGCCTTCAGACATTGTACACATGTGGGGAATCGTCCGAACCATTATGATGTCCCACCTACCCTATACTCATCAGTCGGATGGATTATTTGTTAGCCCTAAGCTTACCAACAAATGGGGCGGTCGGGTAGCCTAGTGGTTAAAGCGTTCCCTCGTCACCCGAAAACCCGGGTTCGATTCCCGACATGGGTACAATGTGTGAAGCCCATTTCTGGTGTCCCCCGCCGTGATATTGCTGGAATATTGCTAAAAGCGGCGTAAAACTATACTCATTCAGTCACTCACTGACCAACAAATGGGTATGTTTGCAGTCGACAGTCTTGTACCTGGACTATTACAACAGAACAACAAAACCAAAGCATCCTAATGTACCCCACGGACTCCGTACTTGAGAGGGCCTCTACACGTGGAACGTGTGATAGCGATTACGTCACTGTATATAACGGTCAGAATAGTAAGCAGAAACTATGTGCATGTATTTTAATTATGCCAACAAATATTCGTAACGGTGACATGATGATGTTCCAATGACCTCGGAGACACTATGTCTGTGTTTAAGTAATGAATCGGGGTTAATAAAGCTGACATTTCGTTTATAACGCCAGTGTCTCTGCTTACCTTCTCCCAGCAGCTGACATTTCGTTTATAACGCAAGTGTCTCTGCTTACCTTCTCCCAGCAGCTGACATTTCGTTTATAACGCCAGTGTCTCTGCTTACCTTCTTCCAGCAGCTGACATTTCGTTTATAACGCAAGTGTCTCTGCTTACCTTCTCCCAGCAGCTGACATTTCGTTTATAACGCCAGTGTCTCTGCTTACCTTCTCCCAGCAGCTGACATTTCGTTTATAACGCAAGTGTCTCTGCTTACCTTCTCCCAGCAGCTGACATTTCGTTTATAACGCAAGTGTCTCTGCTTACCTTCTCCCAGCAGCTGACATTTCGTTTATAACGCAAGTGTCTCTGCTTACCTTCTCCCAGCAGCTGACATTTCGTTTATAACGCCAGTGTCTCTGTTTACCTTCTCCCAGCAGCTGACATTTCGTTTATAACGCCAGTGTCGCTTCTTACCTTCTCCCAGCAGCTGACATTTCGTTTATAACGCAAGTGTCTCTGCTTACCTTCTCCCAGCAGCTGACATTTCGTTTATAACGCCAGTGTCTCTGCTTACCTTCTCCCAGCAGCTGACATTTCGTTTATAACGCCAGTGTCTCTGCTTACCTTCTCCCAGCAGCTGACATTTCGTTTATAACGCCAGTGTCTCTGCTTACCTTCTCCCAGCAGCTGACATTTCGTTTATAACGCCAGTGTCTCTGCTTACCTTCTCCCAGCAGCTGACATTTCGTTTATAACGCCAGTGTCTCTGCTTACCTTCTCCCAGCAGCTGACATTTCGTTTATAACGCAAGTGTCTCTGCTTACCTTCTCCCAGCAGCTGACATTTCGTTTATAACGCCAGTGTCTCTGCTTACCTTCTCCCAGCAGCTGACATTTCGTTTATAACGCCAGTGTCTCTGCTTACCTTCTCCCAGCAGCTGACATTTCGTTTATAACGCAAGTGTCTCTGCTTACCTTCTCCCAGCAGCTGACATTTCGTTTATAACGCCAGTGTCTCTGCTTACCTTCTCCCAGCAGCTGACATTTCGTTTATAACGCAAGTGTCTCTGCTTACCTTCTCCCAGCAGCTGACATTTCGTTTATAACGCCAGTGTCTCTGCTTACCTTCTCCCAGCAGCTGACATTTCGTTTATAACGCCAGTGTCTCTGCTTACCTTCTCCCAGCAGCTGACATTTCGTTTATAACGCCAGTGTCTCTGCTTACCTTCTCCCAGCAGCTGACATTTCGTTTATAACGCAAGTGTCTCTGCTTACCTTCTCCCAGCAGCTGACATTTCGTTTATAACGCAAGTGTCTCTGCTTACCTTCTCCCAGCAGCTGACATTTCGTTTATAACGCCAGTGTCTCTGCTTACCTTCTCCCAGCAGCTGACATTTCGTTTATAACGCAAGTGTCTCTGCTTACCTTCTCCCAGCAGCTGACATTTCGTTTATAACGCCAGTGTCTCTGCTTACCTTCTCCCAGCAGCTGACATTTCGTTTATAACGCAAGTGTCTCTGCTTACCTTCTCCCAGCAGCTGACATTTCGTTTATAACGCAAGTGTCTCTGCTAACTTTCTCCCAGCAGCAATCTAATTTGTAACAGAACAGCTTCTGTCGAATGGAAGAACAATCGCAGGACGTGTTGTGGTCAAGTTTGCATAAACCATGCCTTCCTTGTTGGCCTACGTCAATTTTGAAAGATGGTGATCTAAGATCAGAGAGTCACCATGTCTGACATATAGATAATACAGTGTTCTATTCAAGGTTCTGACATACTTGGCACTTTCTGTGGGAACGAAAGACCTGTCTTTCCCAGCGGGGGAAACTCACTGCGTGTTCATCTACAAACTGATTCCTCCAACAACTACAAAGGATTCAAAATGTTTTACAGAGCTGTACCTGGTTTGTATGAATTTAGCAGTAAGATTTCACCTGATTAAGAAAACTCCGTCTTCACCGCTAGTGTATATTAAATTACTATTGCATATGTATTACATGGTATTGTATAGGTGTAGATATACATGTTCATGACACACAGAACATATTTCGACAATGAATAAATATCAGTTGTAAATGTAAGATAGCTCATGTACCACCTTCCTCCATTGTCAGCAACAACCTGCAACGGTATGATGCCCTCTGGACGGAATCCAATACAAATTGTGTCCCCTGGATATCCTAATAACTACCAAAGGTAAATAACACACATCTATTTCGAAAACATTTGGATTTTAGAGTTGAATTAAACATTTGAACTGAAGTTTCCTTTGAATGTGATAACCATAACAACAAATAAATGGAAGTTTGAGATATGACTGACTTGTTTTTTCTTTACCCTAATAAGTTAAGAAAAAGCCACATTGCCATGTGTAAACTGCTGGCATTCATGATCCAAAGAAAAACAAATTTGAACAGTATTGCATGTATTTTAATGATATGGTAAATACAATCGAAATTATCGATGTTCCTAAACTGAAATCGATACCATTGATCGGAAACTGATATAACAAATGATTTATTTACTTTAATTTCTTACCAATAGCAATATATTGATATTCCGATTGATCGTGACACCCCTAATTAACATGGTGCTATAGCATAGATGATGATATTATTAAAACAATGCATAAATAACGGAAACCAAAGTCTGAATCTTTCCAATATAAGCTTTACACAGCGTTGCTGTGTTTCCATGATGTCAGTGGCAGGGCAGAGGCCAAATTGTAAAAGCATAAGGCTGGGGACAGCACTTACATATGAACATCTGCACAATGTTTGGTGTTATTCTTTGAGTCACACAGCTTATTAGAGATGACTTACAAGTACCAATATTCTTCAGATATGTAATGATAGTTTACATCAGGACATCATTGTCAATTTCTGAGGAAAAGACTGTCACGATATTATTGCAAATAATATCATCAAATTTACATATGCATTTTAATAAGATGTTACACAAGTATCATCTTTCAGAGGCAAGGGAGTTTACTGACTGTAAAAGTCCAGTTTATACCCTTGCTGAACTAGGCTGGAATTATGGAGTTATCTTTTGGCTGGACTAACGAGTCTATGCATAGTCCAATCAAATTCGCGTAACAAAATCGACACCCGGTTCCTAAACTGCCGTGCAGATTTCGGTCTATTACAGGATTTGCAAAGCATGTGTACCACCAACTCGGCGCCAACAGATATTTTCCAAATCTTTTATGATTGTAATTAAGGTGCTAACGTGATTTGGTGCACTTCGAGAAGTAAGACCCGTGTTATCCCAACATTGATTTTGATTATCGATCAGGTCGTTTTGACTGGACAATTTGAGGGACAAAGAAGGGATATTAGTCGTAATAGCTTCTAGGTTGCGGTACGATCGAGGACAGAAATTCCAGCCTAGTCCGGCAAGGGTGGAAACTGGACCTTTACAGTCAGTTAACACCGTTGCCTTTGGACGATTATGTGGATAGGCGTGTGTTCTCTGTTTCCGAATACATTTCTATACGTTGCAGTGGATTAGACTGTCAATGGACTATAAATGCGCGGTCTGGAAGCAACATCAAGGTTGAAGTTCTGTTTGTTGATATGGAGGTAGTGTCAACGTGCGCGAAAGATTATCTACTTTTTGAAGATGGTTGGTAAAACGTATCTGTTTGTGTGTGTTTCATTGTTCCAGCTTTGTGAAGGTGCCCTGTAAATAATTTAATCTAATTTGTTTCTTTGTTGATTAATGCCTCGCTCAGCAAGATGGGGGGCACGGGTGGCCCAGTCGTCTAGGGCGCTGCGATTCGCTGTGCAGAGTTGCGTCCCTTGGGCACGCCAGAAACCTATGATTGTGGGTTCGAATCCAGGTTCGCCCCGATTATGTTTCTAGGTCTGTCAGCACCATACCCGTGCTCGTGGGTTTCACCGAAGTGGTAAACGTCTAAGACCTGCACCACTTTGGGCTTTCCTCCCTCATTAAGCTGACACGCCGTGATATAAGTGGAATACTGTTAAAAGCGGCGTTAAACCCAACTCACTCACTCACTCACTCAGCAAGATGCCCCACACATGAAGGCGACATATTAATAATCAAGTTCGGATACAGATACAGATCTATGTCGTCGGGTTAAGATAACATGCAGTCAACCCTGTCACCGAGTCTGAAAACCAAATCCATATGATCGCTTCCTATAACAAGCATATATTGCTGGTGGCCAATTGTAACCAGGAATCCCTACGGGATTTTACGATAAATGATATAACAATATGAGAACATCACCACTGAAAAGCGTTGTGTAACAAGATCAATCTTTCATTGTCAATTTCTATATACGATTCGGAATTAAGTGCTTCACAGCAATCAGGAAAGATTGAGAAAACAAGATCGATAACTCAAGAGAACGATGGTTCAGCGTATGACAGTCCTGTATTTCAAGTTGTGGTCATAATTATACTGAAGGTATATCAATGTTGCAATGAAAGTACATTCGATAATTAATCAGTGATGTACATTCAGTGTATTTACATTTAAGGCACTACAAACTCTGCTCGCGAGCTGGCGAAGATCTGTGAACGAACGTCTCCTGCCATCGTCAGCTCCAGTAACCACATGACCATCATATTTCACTCAGACAGTAACATCACAGGAAGAGGCTTTCGCTTGCAGTACTCGTCTGGTAATATTTCGCGCAATTATTTGTGATATTTTACAAAAGTGAACATGTTGGTTTTGCATAGTAATCTAGTCATCAAAGGCTAGTTCTTGTCCTCCGATGAAAAATATGAAAAATATATTTTCCTTGATGACCCCAGAGACACCTTCTGTGAGAGGCTTTTTCCTTTTTTAACCGAGTAACTTATAATTACAACTTACTGTTTGTGAGGCATCAGCTTCAGCATCCTTGAGAATAACCGGTACGTCCTCATGTTTGTGTACTTGAATGAGTGAGTGAGTATGGTTTTACGCTGCGTTTAGCAATATTCCAGCAATATCACGGCGGGGGACACCAGAAATGGGCTTCACACATTGTACCCATGTCGGGAATCGAACCCGGTTCTTCGGCGTGACGAGCGAACGCTTTAACCACTAGGCTACCCCACCGCTCCTTGTGTACTTGAATAGACTCCACCAACACTCATGTGATATGATATAACGATATTAACCCCTGTAGTTGCAATCCCTTAGGTTGTTATCACAGATCGTCAATTTGTCGTTTGATGAATTGTGAATTATTATAAATGTGCCCTTTCTTACATTTTGTTTTCCTTTATGTTAGTTATAGCTCCCGTTTGTGGATTATCAGATCTTTCCGCCTCTCCTGTTACATGGACGTATTTGACTTCGCCTGGCTATCCTTCGAACTATTTCAAGTATGTGTAATAGTTAGCTTGTCAGTTAACAGCGCTACTCATTAAACAAATATCATTCCATACGTGACATGAATTGGCATTGCACACGTGACAGTGAAGTAACACTCAACACGTGACAAGAAAGCAGCACTGCACACATGACTGGTAAGTAGCATGTTACTTGTAAGCTTGGTGACCATTTTCTTCCCAACTTAAAAGTAGTTGAATGATCATGATGTGACCTTTTTCAAGCACATTAATGTATCATGGGATATTACATGTACATGACAAGCACAACACAGGTAATAGTGGCTGATTAGCATTATGATTGGAGTGAGTGAGTTGGGATTAACGCCGCTTTGAACAATATTCCAGTCAATTCACGGCATGTCAACTTGATGTTGGGGGAAGACCCCAAGTGATGCAGGTCCACTTGGGTGCTGACTTACCTGGAAAGGTAATCGGGCAAACCGGATTTGAGCCAACGATCATAGGTTTGTGGCGTGCTCAACTCTGTACAGCAAATTGCGGTGCCTTAGACGAATGCCGTAAAACCATACACACTCACAAACTGTTAATCGTCGGATGTATGTGTGTGTGTCCGTGCATGCGTGCGTGTGTGTGCAAAGCTGATGTGGCAAGTTCTATTTGCAGCAACCTAAACTGTCTGTGGACAATTTCTGCACCCGCTGGATATGAAATTAAAGTCGAAGTTGGGTATTTATTTGTGAAATACTCGCCTCTTTGTTCAAGTGACTACCTTCTCTTCAGAGACGGTAAGCATAATGTACATGTTTACAAAGGTATTTCAAGTGAATATAATCATAACTGTCTTTGTGCTGTATTGGCGTCTGATCAATATCTGTTTTATTAGTTTTCACCATGAATCTGAAATAGGTTCTCTGTATAACGCTACGCCCCCAAACATACGACTTCAACAAGCCAATGGCCAACGTGTAGACAACTTAAACGCCTCAGCTGCTTTTACTGTGATTCGTAATTATTCGTGTAAGAAGGGCTTATGAGTGATGACAGGCACAGAAATATATTTATTCAAGGTTCTTTCTGATCAATACTCAGTATTCTTAGCTTCAAATTGACTTGAATGCTAACATGTATACATGTAAGTGTGTGCCTCTAAACCGACGACTGGAGTCAATAAATATATTCACTTATTTATTCAAGGTTCCACGTCTTATGCTTCTCGTCTGGGTAAATATTGTGGTAGTGGTTACAACAACAGGGAAGTCGTCAGCTCCAGAAACTACATGACCATCACATTCCACACTGACGGCTCTGACACAGCACTGGGATTTAGACTGAAATACAAAGCTGGATCTTTCCTTACATCTGCTACAGGTACAATGCTTGTGTGTTGAGGGCCGGCCATTGAATAATCGGGTTGTGGTGGGCCTGGGGTTGGGGTTGGGGGTTTGCCGTTAAGGGTTGGGCATATTGAATGTGCTTTTGTCTGGTATTGCCGGTGGAGATATTTACTTGGTCCTGCTTCAAGAAACACTTAGAAAATCACAGTTTAATTAGCCTTACGTTCACAGTGGATGTTGCGAATCAAACTATCGCTTTCTTTTTTGTTTATATAGAGAGAAGAAATGTGCTCAACTGTGGAAGTTCATTGCTCAGCGCCTCCACGTCCACCTGGAGAGATTTGTCGTCTCCTGGCTATCCCTATAAAAACTACAACAAGTAAGTAAATCGATGCAATATCTTTGGTTTATGCGCCTTATTGATTAATAGCAGGTTAATAATATGACACCAACCTGCCACAAAGTGTTTGATACTTAAAACTACCCTTCCTACCAGGAGGGGACGAGGCCATGACACAATAGCCTTATTGGCGTTGCGGGGCGGTGGGGTAGCCTAGTGGTTAAAGCGTTCGCTCGTCACGCCGAAGACCCGGGTTCGATTCCCGACATGGGTACAATGTGTGAAGCTCATTTCTGGTGTCCCCCGCCGTGATATTACTGGAATATTGCTAAAAGCGGCGTTAAACCAAAACTCACTCACTCACTCACTATTGGCGTTGCAGTTCTGGATCGTGCCTGTATCCTACGATCCTGGTTTCAAATCCTAGATTCTCCCTGACGATTATCCTTAACCTGTCTGCATCATGATCGTACCCGTGGATGTTACCTCGTGGTAAAAGATGCACATCATTTAGAGCCTTCGCCTCGCATTAAGGAAGCCATCGAACTACACCCTTAGGCTGGAAGGCCTAGCATATCACATGACCATAATACATGACAACTGAATTGCATACATCAATAGTATCATATATATATATATATATTGTTGATTATCACCTCCCTGAAGGATGGGTTCGAATCCCGGTTCGCCCCGATTATGTTTCTAAGTTTGTCAGCACCATACCCGTGCTCGTTGGTTTCACCGAAGTGGTAAACGTCTGAGACCTGCATCACTTCGGGCTTTCCTCCCACATTAAGCTGACACGCCGTTATATAACTGGAATACTGTTAAAAGCGGCGTTAAACCCAACTCACCCACTCACCCACCCTGAAGGACGCTGAAATAGGACAAAACTCTATTGAGATTAAGCAAACCTTGGAAATAACGTAACTCGCTCCACCTACATGTACAGGTAAGTAATCGAAATCATTGAGAAGTTATAGCTTGTGGTTTTTGTAGCGTGGAAAATCCTTATACAGTAACGACAAAGTGGCTCATCAACCGCGTTTAAAATACCAGAAGCTGTTACTGCCTTGGGGCGGTTTGGGCAGTGAGTAGGTTTGGTCGCTTTCAGCAATATTACAGCAAAATCACAGTACACCAGAAATTGGCTTCACACATTTTACTCATGTGGAGAATCGAGCCCGGGCCTTCGGCATGACGAGCGAAAGCCTTAACCACTGAGATACCCCACCTTACCTCACTGACGGTAATTAACACCTGATCATGATGTTGCTACATACTTGGAGCAGAAGGGTATGTTAGTGGTGAAAACGCTCACTGGCAATGCTCAATTTATGTGTGCGATGTGTGAAGCCCTGATAATGTTGGAATCTTCCAGGGTCGTTAAACCTACTTACTCAATCATTGTTACAGATTATACAATTGTAAAGTCGTTCATGAAAGTCAGGTATTGTTTGTCACATGGTTTTAATAAAAATGTCAGGCAAATAAATCACGCATATATGATATACTGCCCCTTAACATAAATGGAGGTAGCTCATCAATCCTTCAAATAACGAATGGTTGCAGAGTAAAACTTTCCCTTCAGTCTTTCATCATCTTCAAACCGGGTACCAGGAAGGTTTGCTTTCAAATTCAGGAACATAATGTAATGACTAGGGGCCTGGTCTGGACTGTATGATAAATTGTAGGCTTTGGCAATCCTCAGTTAACGCATTGTCATATCGCAGCTGTCTTCAAGTTACCACCATTCCTTGCCTATTCTCTTTGATTGCTTGCCTCAATTTTGTCATCAAAAAGCTTTGTAGGCACCCGCGATTATAGTTTCAGGAGGCACATAGTGCATCCCAGAAAATATATGCCTAAACCTTGCCTGTTGATGGTTGTGTGCAGAAGGACGCATGGTGTATCCACTGCATAGACACGTGTGTTGATTCAGGATCCAAGATGTGCATCCTTGACCATTACCTCTTATCCCGGATAACGAAAATTATCTGGGTCCTCAAAAAGAACAGTGACCTGACTACATAGAGTCACTGCACACTGTCATCCATAAAAAAACCCATATTACTGTCCCTAAAAAGTGTCAAGTAGTTATGTTCTCCCAACTTGTAAATCTGAACTTATTTACTCTTAATATCATATGTCAATGATTTAGATCTGATCTAATCAGATCTGATTACGTTTAAAGAGTTCACTGCATCTTTCTTTGTAGCAACATGGACTGCAAGTGGACAATTTCTGCACCTGTTGGATATAAAATAAAAGTTGAAATTAAAGTTCTTTCTGTGGAATATGAAGCCACCTGTGCAAAAGACTATCTCCTCTTCAGTGACGGTGAGCACAATGTTCATTTTTTTAAAAGCGCTGAAATATCATCACATTGCTCTTTGTGTCGAATAGGTTTCTAAATAATCTTCTAAAAAAATTGTATACTCACACGCAAAAGAAACGCAAGTGGTTTTAAGCAAATAGGTAACAAACTCGGAACCATAAATTGATACGAATTTTAGCATGTAATGAAGCCAGATGGTGTTATCAATATTTTTGGTTGCATTTTTGAAGCCCCGAGTAAAAACGCAACATAAAAAACGAATGGCCAAAACGCACTATTTCAATGAATATATAGGTATCATGCACCCATTTCTCGCGAAATCGAAAATGCACGAACTGTCACGAGCTGTAGTGGGTATAAAACTGTGGCCGATTCTTGGACCTACCACTCCTTGGTCAACAATGCCACGCCTAACTCAAAATCAGAGAAACCAGGCTATCGGACGTTTGGAAGCTGGAGAGTCTGTCCAAGATGTTGCCAGTCATTTCAACGTTAACATAACTACAATTTACCGTCTCCTGCATCGATACAATACTACACAGACCACAGATGACCTTCCTCGGAGCGGTCGTCCTAGGGTCACCACACCTCGACAAGATCGGCAGATTACCCGTCAACACCAGCGACATCCGTTCCTAACTGAAAGTGAAAGTGCTCGACAGACCATAGGAACACATAATCGACACATTAGCCGGGACACTGTGATCCGACGTCTCCTTTCCAACAACCTCAACAAGATGTCGCCGACCAGCACGTCGTCCTGTTCTCCAATGACGGCATCGACAAGCACGACTTCAGTGGGCACAGGGTCATCACAATTGGCGTCATCCTGAGTCGAGGCGTGTCATCTTCTCTGATGAAAGTCGCTTTTGTGTCTCCCATGCAGACGGAAGAGTCAGAATTTGGCGGCGTCGAGGTGATCGTTTCGCTGACAGAAACGTTATTGAGAGGGATCCATGGGGTGGACCTAGCGTCATGATATGGGCAGGGATTGGACTTAATACGAGACTTGGACCCATGTGCTTTCTGAATTTTGGTCAAGGTCGGGGACACGGCGTCACTGCTCAGCGGTATATCGACCAAGTGATCAGACCCAATGTTGTTCCATTTTTTGCACAACATCAACAACACATTTTCCAGCAGGACAACGCTCGTCCCCATGTTGCCGGAGCTACCATGACCTTTCTGCAACAACACAACATCCGTGTTCTACCGTGGCCAGCCCTCAGCCCTGATATCAACCCCATCGAACACTTGTGGGATGAGGTTCAAAGGCGTCCCTGTCCCTACAACTGCCGATGAACTACGCAGAGCTGCTCTGGATGTGTGCAGGAGGATCCCTAGGTCCTTCACAAATCGTCTGATCCACTCAATGTACAGGGGATGTGTGGCAGTGATCAATGCTAATGGTGGTCACACATGGTATTGACTGACGTTTTGGGTATTGACCCGAAACTGTGTGAGCCCTTAACATTTGAAAAAAACCCAATTATGTCATCTGCCTTTTAGTGCATTAAACTGACTTCAGTCGTCAAATTTCTGTCAATCTTGCCCTATTAGTATTTCTTGTCTTTTCTGTTGAAAATAAATAACATGTATACTGCATACTCGACTTGCGTTTCTTTTGCGTGTGAGTATATTATTAGCTTCAAGTTGATTCAATACGAGTATGTTAAATCTTAAAATCTATCAATATATTTATTCAAGGCTCCTCGTCTTATGGTACTCAGTTGGGTAAATACTGTAGTGGCACCAGGGGCGTCGTCAGCTCCAGCAACGCCATGACCATCACCTTCCACAGTGACAGCTCTGGTACAGGCAGAGGATTTTCTTTTGAATACATGGCGCAGACGTCAGGTACTCACTTATAAATTGTTCATATGCGTCTTCTTTAACATCAAACTAACGATTCATAAAACACCAACTGTCCGTAAGTTTAACACCAACATATGTGTATAAACATAAACCCTGACTTTCAAAAGTGGGGGTTCAGAGGACCCCCAATAATAATTTAAAGGGTCCTTACCGGCACCATGAGGGTCCTGTCAAATAATGAAATGGTGTAGTGTACTGTGCGTTAACATACATACCGGGATTGAATCAGTGGACAGTAGTCATGATTGATGGATGAAATGACAGATACCAATAACTGCTCTGGATGCGCTGTTGGTACAATGAATATTACTTTGTGTCCCTCGGGATGCAGTATACATATTTTCTTGTGTGTTTAGTTCTATAGTATTGAGACCACCTCAGTGGTCACAGGGTAGAGAGTCATCCCAGAGAGCCGAAGCTGGGGTTAAACGTGTTGTTACCCAGCCCGGCGCTCGGCATTAAGGCGCTCAGCATCAAAACATTGACAGGCCCCTCAGAGTCAGAATGCTGTGTCTGCGTGGGGTATTGATGTTAAACTGCGCCATGGTATCTCAGTGGGCAAGAAGTAAAAAGTCGGCATGAGTCCGGACTAGTACAAGCACACACGTGCATGCTCATCGCTAAAAGTGCAACAATCTGAAGGCCATGTTAAACCCTATTAAATACCACTTTACCTGTTGCATGTGTCACTGAGCTGTGTTCCAATGATCAGGGGGGTCTTAAATAAGAATAACATGATATAGAAAACGTGGTAATAGGTTCACAGGTAAATCAAATAACTGCTTATTGTACTAATGGTTGACAATAAAAGATAAGATAAACCGAATCTGCGCTCACACAGATCACAAATAAATTCCATCAGCCCAAATATACAACCAGTTTAACTACACAATTGCATTACAGCAATAAAAAGGAGAGGAACTAAGGCACTGTGACAAGATATGAACCAGATGCGTAGACTGCCAATTAAGTCGTCCATGACCAATTAACACCTGAGTCAATTAACTCAACACTCTAGTGAGTGAATAACCTCGAGTGACTTAAATAACGGGAAATAAACACTGAGAGCTTATCACTAAAATAAGTAACTTCGACTACAAAATAGACGATTACATCTGAATATCAACCAGTCTTCATCGACTAACGATTCTGTCACTTTGACTGAACAAGGATGGTTGGTTGGTTGGTTGGTTTAAACGCCGCACTCAGCAATATTCCAGCTATATGACGGCGGTCTGTAAATAATCGAGTCTGGACCAGACAATCCAGTGATTAATATCATGAGCATCGATCCACGCAATTGGGATCGATGACATGCATCAACCAAGTCAGCGAGCCTGACCACCCGATCCCGTTAGTCGCCTTTTACGACAAGCATAGTCACCTTTTACGGCAAGCTTGGGTTGCTGAAGACCTATTCTATCCCGGAATCTTCACGGGTGACTGAACAAGGAAGTACTAAAGTTCCGTAATAGATAGTTAATCAGGGGATGGTTGGTTATCCAGGGATTACTAGAAAAACACGTTACAAAGTGCCTAGTCAATCACGGGAGGCTGGTTTCCAGGCATTGGGGGTCACGGGTGGCCCAGTCGTCAAAGACGTTTTACGAAGTCGGGAGAGTCAAGATACGAGATCCAGAAAGACTTAAATACACAGCGCGCGGACGTCGGAGGGGACATATTCTCCTGGACCGCCGGGAATACAACTGACTGGGGCACCTAGATAACGTGTGTTTCTAAACACGGGAAAACATGATTAGCTAACTAAATACTATATCTACACTGAAGTTGTAAGTATCAAAGTAAAGCGCTTAACATAAGCTATCCAACAGCAGCAAAACAAGCTATGTACAATTATTCACAATTAAATAAATGAGAAATATCTGCATGTGGATATAAGTTCCCCTAATGTTTGCAAATCATAAATATAGTAACATTGACAGTACAAGAATATGGCAAGGAACACATAAGAGATAACATATATCCAGATAATACATGGTTTGAGAGTGTCACGAGATCACACGAGAATGAAATGCCACTAATTCTCTAACATAAAATGATCTCACACTGAACAATGACGACCGCCGGAGTTTGCCGAGCGGTGTCGGAAAACCAGGACACATGACAGTGTCATGAGCCAGTTAACGCCTCGGTGACAGTATGGCAACGTAAAAACTTCCACATCATTAATGACAACTGAACCAAGGAAGGTGGTACAACAAGGCCCATTGTTTCCCTGTTGAAATGCCAGATTAAGTTAATATAATGAACGTTTTTCAACATGGATTTATTGAAAAGAACAAAATCTAATTGTCTTTTTTGTCAACACATTTTACCACGTTGATAATGTTTAAATAAAGTTATTTCATATTTGTTCAACGAAAGTAGTAAGTATTGGAGAAAACACGCTCACGAGGTTTTGGTAGACAGAGCATGCCCTGGGGAGAGGGAAAAACCAAGGGGGCGAAGCCCCCGCGGTTTTTCCCGACCCCCAGGGCATGCTGTCTCTACCAAAACCGAGGGAAAGTGTTTTTCCATGCTTATTAACCCTAAAAAGAAACTTAAAACAACATTTATCAACATTTTTATGTTTCGAACATACTTTCCATGAACCTTAGGAAACGCGTAAAATATCTGTTGCTGGCGTACGGATCTTTCTCAAGGACATTCTAAAAACCAGTGAGGCTTATCAACACCTTATGAAGGTTGCGAGTTCGATCCTCGGGAATATAAAGAAAACATTTGTCATTTGATTTTACATTTCATTACATGTTACAATCTGAACGGAAGTTATATTAATAAAATACCCAGGACATTATATAAAATCCCAGAGACATTACAACGTCCCTGTTTATGAGATTTAACCCGACTGGAAAGTAAAACCTCACAATAGGTTTTAATGCCTATAGAAAGAAGTCTCTTACTTAATAGCGATCTCAATGAATAGGTTTATAATACTAGATATTTGACACTTATGCAAGGTCATAACCACACCCCTTCTTTGTTGTACCTCTCAGTTTGAACAGACCCGTGTCTCCTGGGACATCCACATCATCACACAATCAAGACTATAGTAATGAAACCATCCAGTGCTGTGTAACTATTCAATGTTTCAGGATGTGGCACAGATGAAGAGATTTATGGATATGACACGAAATATATTGAATCACCGAATTATCCTCTGGACTATCCCGAGTGAGTATGCACTACACGTTTTTCGATTATCACGACCACACAGAGGTGCGTCAAACTGCATTCCCAGAGCGATAGGCCAACTACGAATTTATCTAAGCACCGTGTTTATCATTTACTACAATTTTAAAAATGACATACGAATCTGTAGTCTACATGGAAATGAATCCAAACGTCACTGACTCATAGAATTTAAGTATTTTACATGTAAAGCAACATACGGCAAAGCTTAATGAATGCTTATCAACGGAAACACACAGTTGAGTTACAGTAAACTACGGTTATAACGAACTCAAAGGGACTATTATTTTTAGTTCGTTATAACCGTAGTTCGTTATAAGCATATATACAGCATAATTACAACAAATAGTCGGGACTAAAAAGTAAGTTCGTTATATCCGTCAGTTCGTTATAAGCGTGTTCGTTATAACCGTAGTTTACTGTAGTAGCTTAGATGGTGTCTTTTGCATATATTTGTTTGCACAGTTTACCTTTTCATCTGACACATTTCTCACACAAACAAATGACCACCGAATATTTCCGTTCTTTGGTTCAAGTTAGGCAAGTTTCATTGCAACTGATAGACCCATATCTGCACCTGGACCGTGAGGACCGTGTGTTTGTCGTAAGAGGTGACTATGCTTGTCGTAAAAGGCGACTAACGGGATCGGGTGGTCAGGCTCGCTAACTTGGTTGATGCATGTCATCGATCCCAATTGCGTGGATCGATGCTCATGATGTTAATCACTGGATTGTCGATTATTTACAGACTGCCGCTATCAAGATGGGATATTGCTGAGTGTAGCGTTAAACAACAAACCAAACCAAACCCAATTGCGTGGATCGATGCTCATGGTGTTAATCACTGGATTGTCGATTATTTAGAGACTGCCGCTATCTAGATTGAATATTGCTGAGTGTGGCGTAAAACAACAAACATGCCTGCACTACAAAAAATGAATGTGAAATGAGCCACGCCTGTCCGTCCTTGTTCTTTGCAATTCATGTCGTAACTATCTTATATTTTAAATAGCTGAGAATGTTAGTTTGGAAATTTGAATGTGCCGTTCTGATTATTAAACTATCTAACACAAGTTGCAGTTGCTATGGTTTTAACTGCATCGATATAGGAAACGGGAAAACGTGATTGAAGCAGGATTGTGTGTTCTTCCGCAACAAATTCTATCGAAAAGCAAATTAGATGAGTTCACAAAAATATGTGAAATATGTTGTATGAATAACCCACATAAATAAACACAACGACGATTGTCTTGTTCCACTGTTTTTACCGCATGAATTATCCATATGTCCAAACAAACACATAACACATTGCTTGACTCGTTTCATGAGTAGAGATGGACACTCATGATTATACGACGCTGATTCTGTTATTGCTGACGTATAGAGAAATTTAGTGTTCGAGGGTGACTTGGGAAGGGCTTAAGTTAACACCGCCATGGTATTAACCATACCTGGAAAGCAGTAAAGCACCAGTTAAGCACTGACACATTTTTCGTAAATAAAACAAACCAATTTGGGTCCTTGTAAATAGCAAACGTTTGGAGAAGCAATTAAACTTGACTCGACTTTTCATGCAATTTCATTTTTAACATATGTGTATTGACTTATAATTATGACATACTCATTATATATAAGGTGAGGTGAGGTGAGGTGAAATTGGGTTTAACGTCGCGTCCAAGATTATTGCACTGATATAGCGACGTGCATGCACGTGTATGTGTGTGAGTGGCTGCTTGTACTAGTCCGGACTGATGCCGATTTATAGTGCTAGCTCACTGAGATACCATGCCGCAGTTGAACATGAATACCCCACTCAGACACAGTATACTGACTCCGAGCCGACCAGTCCTTGTTTTAGCCCCTTAATGCCGAGCGCCAGACAGGGTAACAACAAGTACAATCTTTTAACGTCTTTTTGTATAACGCGGCCCGGGATCGAACCCTGGACCTTCCGCTCTCCGGGCGGACGCTCTACCACAAGACCACGGAGGCGGTCTCATTATATATAAAGACATCTCACCTCAACCCCCTGATACTCATTTTGGCCATTCATAATAATGTATTCAGCAATGTAACACCAGGTGTAGAATATACCATATCTACCTCTGGCAAACGCAAAATATTGTTTTTCAGAAGTCGTTCTTGAACCTATGTTTTCGACAATTTAGCATACAATTTAACCAAATATTATGCTCAACAAACTTAACGTAAAAAATCAATTTCGACAAAAAGTTTGTTGGATCAAGATTTAAATAAGATTGCGTCAGTACTCACCAAAGGGAAAACAAACACCTGGAACAATATTACAGTGTTAGATCATTGACTGTAGTAATTTTTACCAAAGTCTACAGAAACACCAGAAACTTCTATGTAGATTGTATCGCAGTTTGCATAATCCTATGGGGAAATTGCAAACCTGTGGCGTTGCGACCTGAACAACACTCAGACCATGCTATAATTCGAATTTTGTATTATATTTTACAATAATAATGTATTGTTTAATTTTAGCAATGCGGACTGTTCATGGATAATCAGCACTGATGTTGAAGGATATGTAATCCATGTTGAAGTGGAGTTTTTCTACCTTGAGCATGAGAGCACGTGTTCCTATGATTATGTGCAGCTCTATGACGGTAATGACTTACGCCCAGTCAGGAGTTTCCTAGAATCGAGTGAGAAAGAAAGTGTGTTATTGACACGAATCAGGGTCCCTATGTGGACAAGTGTGACTGTATTTGTACGAGAGGTGTCGTTTTATTATTGCAATAAAGTTCTGTTAATCCAAGTTAAACCTTATCGTTTGAGCTGCATCCTTTTCGGCAAGGGAGTTAACTTCAACAACCTGAGTCACTTCGGGTTTTTATTTCCACTCTACAGTAAAAAATAGAAAATAAAATAGTCATGTGTAATAAGTAAATATCATTCCAAAGTATATGTTAAAAGTATTGCCTGTCTGAACGCACTCAACGTCCTAGCGTATGTGTGTAACTGATGTGATTTGTTGTAAGTATAACGATATTTACATAATATCACACAAAGGTTCTATTCTTGTCATAGTCGAGGGAACATATGAACACTCGCTTGGTCGATGGTGTGGATTTGATGGACCAGATACACAGAGTACAGGGATGAGTATGAAGGTCCGATTCCTCTCCGATGCTTCGAACACCTTCACAGGATTCAAGTTGGCCTTCACTGCCGGCGAGCCAACATCTTCCTGTAAGTTTTTAAGTGGTCTTCATTCATTTCAAGATACATCGAATCTATTAAGACAGGACGAATGAGATTCATCAATCAGCACCCCTACTATAACGTTGATGTCACGTCTCAGTCATTGTACATTTCCATTGTTTTCGTGTTGAATATTACCTGCAGCGTAGTTTGCACCATACAATAAACCAAGTACTTTGTGCATTTGGGGTTAAACATTATACAGTAAACTACGGTTATAACGAACACGCTTATAACGAACTGACGGATATAACGAACTTACTTTTTGGGTCCCGACTATTTGCTTTAGTTATGCTGTATATATGCTTATAACGAACTACGGTTATAACGAACTAAAATTGGTAGTCCCTTTGAGTTCGTTATAACCGTACTTTACTGTACATACAATGTGTTTAGATGACTAAGGAATGTCGTGAGGGTGGGGGTTGACCATGGAGGCGGAGTGGCGGGGCAAGGTCGCCAGGAAGACTAAACTGTCACGTATTCGGCCTGGTTTTGTTTACTGAAGCAGTGTTCATTCGTTTCACATTGCATCAAGATGCCACACCTGTTCATGACTGACATAGTTACGAAGCGGCCTTAATCTAAACAGTTGATTATACAGTGTTTCATCCTTTGTGAATAATGTGTCACGGGGTGAAGCGGGTGTAATAGTCGATTCAGTGTAACTGTCCTTTGACCAAAAACACTGAGAAGTTGGAGTGAGTGAGTGAGTATGGTTTTACGCCGCTTTTAGCAATATTCCAGCAATATCACGGCGGGGGACACCAGAAATTGGCTTCACACATTGTACCCATGTCGGGAATCGAACCCGGGTCTTCGGCGTGACGAGCGAACGCTTTAACCACTAGGCTACCCGACCGCCCCTCTGAGAAGTTGGACTATTGACAGATGACATAATATCACGCTGGTATTGATGGCTCGATCAGTGTAATACAATGACAAAAAAAGTTTATGTTATTACCTTCAGTGCAAACGTTTCCCCAGCAGTACAAGAAAACATGAGAACCCCTTGATCGCCACCTAACTTTAACGTCTCAAGTAATCTTCAGAACCCGGGAAACATCAGTTAGGTTAGGTCTGACATCATGTCGGAAGGTATAGGTGCGTGGCATGCTGTACCAGAACGCAATAGGTTCATGAAACCACAATACTTTTGCAATAATTTGATTATTCTGAAACTTTCAGGAATCTATTTCAAAACCATATTTACCGCGCATTCTATCAGAGGGCTTATTAGGTCATGTTACACGCATGCATGTGACGGTAGTACTAATTAATCATTTTAAAAAAGATCTTTAACGTGAATATTATTTTTCGTCAGCTTCTGTGTCCAGAAACTTCGGAGTAATAACATTCAATGTACGTTACTCGTCTTTATTTTAACATTCTGTTTCGTGTTTATTTTGTACAGCGGCGTCTTTTACACCGAACTTTGGAGCGGTCATTGGAGGGGTATTCGGCGGCATTGTAGGCGTGGCTATATTAACGTGTTGCTGCTGTGGAATTTGCTCTAGGAAAAAATCCACGACAAATGACCAGTCACAAAGTAACAGATCTGGCAAAGACAACGTGAACAAGGTCTCCTCAATCCCCCTGCCCAACTACGCACCAACTACGGCTACTACTCTGCCGGCCATGCTTACTCCAGCCCCAGCTGGCTGACAGTTAAGTCGTGAAGGATGACCCCCCACCCTACTGTCACACAAATTAACATATTTTTTGATGAAATCCCCAAACTCCATCGACAGCAAATAAAAACACCGCCAAAAATTGTTCCAAAGAGGCATATTTTATATTTTCTAAGAAAATCTATCACCATAAGAAAATACAGTTATCTGTATTCTTACAATATCTGTTTCCCGATCTATTTGGGTCATGTGTGATGTTGATTGTTGAGTGAGTGAGTGAGTGAGTGAAACGCCGCTTTTAACATTATTCCAGTTATATCACGGCGTGTCAGCTTATTGTGGGAGGAAAGCCCGAAGTGAGGCAGGTGTCAGACGTTTACCACTTCGATGAAACCCACGAGCACAGGTATGGTGCTGACAAACCTAGAGACATAATTGGGGCGAACCGGGATTCGAACCCACAATCATAGGTGTCTGGCGTGCCCAAGGGACGCAACTCTGCACAGCGAATCGCGGCGCCTTAGACGACTGGGCCACCCGTGCCCCCTGTTGATTGTTTGACTGTGTATAACCAAGGAACAGAAGTCACGTTGTACAAGTGAAAGAACTTTCACCAACTGATCAGTAGTCAATAAAGACTATCACAATCATGCCACAAGCATGTCACAATTTTGAATGGGTGATAATACAATGACCACGATGAGAAACTTTTGAAATTCCTCTTGGTTGTGGTAGTATATACTCTTAATTGTTTTTGTTATTGGATATAAAACTATTTTGTATATCAATTGATGCTTGGTGTTGGAGTTATGTTTATGTTTATTAGAACATGAAAGCTTGTTACAGATCATATACATTATTTTACATATACGAATGTAGTGCACGTGCATGTCTTGATATTATATTGAGCGTGAGAGTAATACATAACATGGCATTATATGGTATGATATGATAAGATATGATGGGACAAGCTATAAAATTGCCAATGTGTTGTGTGATATGACATGTTGAAATGTGATATAATATAGGTGTGATATATGGTACGATGGTATGTATCGTATGTTATGATATGATAATGGTATATGACAAAATACTATATAGTATGATCTTATAATAATGATACAATATGATATGATGTTATAGAATATGTTGTATGATATAACAAGTTGTGATATGGTAAAATAGAAATTATGAAATTACAGGGTATGGTATTGTACTGTGGAATGACGTGAGGTGATTTGGTGAGATATGTACATAAATTGTATAAAATTGTATATTCTTCAAATTGTACTATAGGCCTGTGGCCTCTTCAGTACGTTAATAAAGATTGGACTAATACATAACACTGAACACATATGTTTTTTACTTTGGTGGAATCCACGAGCCAAGGTAATCAAGAATTTATATTCATGGCAATTTATTTGCTAATGGTTTCGCTGGATCTCCCATTGTCATTGATTGCATAGAAGAAATTGTAACACAGAAGTGGTGTTGCTGTTCCGACCGTTCACATGCGACTACATACTGAACAACACAGCTAGCTACAACAAAGTCAGGTTCCTGGCATCGCTCATGGGCATCTAAATGTCCATCTGCATTTCTTTATTATAGGGGGGCACGGGTGGCCCAGTCGTCTAAGGCGCCGCGATTCGCTGTGCAGAGTTGCGTCCCTTGGGCACGCCAGAAACCTATGATTGTGGGTTCGAATCCCGGTTCGCCCAGATTATGTTTCTAGGTTTGTCAGCACCATACCCGTGCTCGTGGGTTTCACCGAAGTGGTAAACGTCCTTGACCTGCCTCACTTCGGGCTTTCCTCCCACATTAAGCTAACACGCCGCGATATAACTGGAATAATGTTAAAAGCGGCGTTAAACCAAACTCACTCACTCACTCTTTATTATAGAGATGGAAGATTATCAACGTGAGTTAGTCCTCAGAGAAAATATATTCATTTAACCGAGAGCAAGACAACAGCAGGCATGTTGTGTTCGTTGCATATTGCAGGTGAGGTGAGATGAAATGGGGTTTAACGTCGCGTCCAGGATTATTCCACTTATGTGTGCATGCACTTGTATGTGTATGTGGCTGCTTGTACAGGACCAGACTATTGCCGTTTTAATAGTGCTGGCCCACTGAGATACCATGTCACAGTTCAGCATTATTACTCGTGTGTACGGATGCACGTGTGTATGTGGCTGCTTGTACTAGTCCAGACTATTGCCGTTTTAATAGTGCTGGCCCACTGAGATACCATGTCACAGTTCAGCATTATTACTCGTGTGTACGGATGCACGTGTGTATGTGGCTGCTTGTACTAGTCCAGACTATTGCCGTTTTAATAGTGCTGGCCCACTGAGATACCATGTCACAGTTCAGCATTATTACTCGTGTGTACGGATGCACGTGTGTATGTGGCTGCTTGTACTAGTCCAGACTATTGCCGTTTTAATAGTGCTGGCCCACTGAGATACCATGTCACAGTTCAGCATTATTACTCGTGTGTACGGATGCACGTGTGTATGTGGCTGCTTGTACTAGTCCAGACTATTGCCGTTTTAATAGTGCTGGCCCACTGAGATACCATGTCACAGTTCAGCATTATTACTCGTGTGTACGGATGCACGTGTGTATGTGGCTGCTTGTACTAGTCCAGACTATTGCCGTTTTAATAGTGCTGGCCCACTGAGATACCATGTCACAGTTCAGCATTATTACTCGTGTGTACGGATGCACGTGTGTATGTGGCTGCTTGTACTAGTCCAGACTATTGCCGTTTTAATAGTGCTGGCCCACTGAGATACCATGTCGCAGTTCAGGATTATTACTCGTGTGTACGCATGCACGTGTTTATGTGGCTGCTTGTACTAGTCCAGACTATTGCCGTTTTAATAGTGCTGGCCCACTGAGATACCATGTCGCAGTTCAGGATTATTACTCGTGTGTACGCATGCACGTGTTTATGTGGCTGCTTGTACTAGTCCAGACTATTGCCGTTTTAATAGTGCTGGCCCACTGAGATACCATGTCGCAGTTCAGCATTATTACTCGTGTGTACGCATGCACGTGTATGTGTATGTGGCTGCTTGTACAGGACCAGACTATTGCCGTTTTAATAGTGCTGGCCCCCTGAGATACCATGTCGATTTGTGTGTGGCTGCTTGTGCTGGTCCGAACTAATGCTGTTTTAATAGTGGTAGCCGACTGAGATAGCATGTCACAGTTTAAGATGAATATCCCACTCAGTCTTTCGGTCTGTCGCGGCCGACTATTGAAAGCCCGACCTTCCGCTCTCCGGGCGGACGATCTACCTGTAGACCACTCTCTGGAGGCGGTCGGAAATTACAGAAGAAGACTTGGTTCTTTTACGACAGAGCCCGAAACATTTTTTGAAACTGATGGATGGTATACATCCGAATTTTATCCCGAACGTTCCAGATTTAAACGAGAGTGAGTGGCATGGGGGTTAACGCAGATCACTGCAGTATTTTCGTTCCTCGTGTTCCACGATTGATATGGTGCTCACCAACCCAATAGCATTACCAAGGTGCAACCTGCAGTCGAACCCACAATGAGCTGTACTGGGCAGCCAAGGGACGGAACGGAGAACTGATATACTCGGCGCCACGGTCCATCTGACATACATGCCCTGACAAAGTGAGTGAGTGAGTATGATTTAACGCCGTTTTTAGCAATATTCCAGCAATATCACGGCGGGGGACACAGGAAATGGGCTTCACACATTGTACCCATGTCGGGAATCGAACCCGGGTCTTCGGCGTGACGAGCGAACGCTTCAACCACTCGGCTACCCGACCGCCCCTGCCCTGACAAAACCATAACGATGTGGACATTGATATATTCGACCACCTACCGAGACGTCTATCATCTCTGACATAATTATATCAACGTTTCACCAAACAGTGGTAATACGAGTAACATTCTATATTCTCCCATGAATTTGGAAAATACTCGATTTTGATCGGTCAATCAGAGGTTTCAAATCACAATAAACTGAGTGAAACAGCCGATTTGACAGCCGCGTCACCGGGGAACCTAATGTTTCTATTATAATACTTCGCGTACAGTCATTGTCAGTAGGCATATTAAAAAAATTATACGTACAATTTTAGGCTACGAAATGCAAAGTTGCTGTTACCACAATATTCAAATCATGACGACAAAAATGGTGCGGAAGGAAACCTTTGCACGTTTTGCTTTGTTTTCTTTTGGGGTGCCCACCTCATGGTAGCTTCGAAGTTGGCGGGCTGCATGCTTTCCATGCCGGTCATTAGTTAGAGTGAAGTCATAATAAATTACGCTTTAAACAAACTGCTTGAGCTTAAAGAGTGCCATGTTTTGTTTAAAGGCTGTTGTCAGTGATTCAGTAAATTCTGATCGACAACCCACTCAAAACAATAGGCCCAACCCATGCTGCTTTGATCAAGATAAAAAAAATGTTTTATTAAGTCATGGTAGAGTGAGTGAGTGAGTGAGTCGGGTTTAACGCCGCTTTTAACAGTATTCCAGTTATATCGCGGCGTGTCAGCTTAATGTGGGAGGAAAGCCCGAAGTGATGCAGGTCTCAGACGTTTACCACTTCGGTGAAACCCACGAGCACGGGTATGGTGCTGACAAACCTAGAAACATAATCGGGGCGAACCGGGATTCGAACCCACAATCATAGGTTTCTGGCGTGCCCAAGGGACGCAACTCTGCACAGCGAATCGCGGCGCCTTAGACGACTGGGCCACCCGTGCCCCCCAAGTCATGGTAGAAGGGAGATAAACAAACAATGTAGAGCTAGGCTACCTGCAGATTTAACCTCGCTAATTTTTTTATTTGGAATCTCCAGTTTTGAACACACAGTGTTTAATCATCTCCCGATTTATGCAGCCGCTATACACACATTGCTTCAACTCAGACAGCATTGTCAAGGGGTTGGATCTATGTATAATCAACACATTTTGTCCCTGGATAATGCAGCTTCTAAATGCCAATTTTGGTTTTATCACAGCTTATACCTTTTCCTCTATTTGGCCTCGTTACGTTTGCCTGGTCTGCAGGACATGTCACAGCTGTAACATGAAAGGAGAAACTGTGTACGGCTAACATGTTTCATTTGATAATAATCTTCAATCTGTTACATGCAGGATGTTTGCAAAGATATATTGGAATACTATTATTGTCATAATGATAGGCTGTGTCGTTATTTCTCGGCAGAATCAGTTCCAGAACCTCGTGTTTGTTGTACCAGTGACCACTGAGATCAAGACGGTTACAGTGGCTCAACGTGTCCCGACCTCGCCCTTGCTGTCATCCGTCGATAGTGATATAGCTGGGATATTGCTGACATAGTTGTAAAACAACATTCACTCACTCACTCACTC